AAGAAAAGCTAACTTTTCTGCACGAGATACGTTTGATACTTTTTCTCTATGTCTAAATGTCCACTCCTCGCAAGTATAACTTACATTTTACAATGCAGGGACTGTAACTAGAGATATGCTTGCTATAAATACAGTAATCATTACTTTATTTAGGTAGAAAAAGTTCATTGTGGTTTCCAAGCTCATTAATGTTAACGTTAGCGGTCTTCCACTGATGATAGTGGCATTAGCTAGCTTTGTGGTTAGCTAGTCTATGATGATAGCAATAGATAACATCATACTGCAAATTGTAAAACATACATTTTCAATATAACTTGCCAAGGAGAGATGATGATTGAAGCGTGTTTCGTCCGTTTTTATTTTATTTTTTAAATATTCATTTATCAGGCCATTATAACTGCCGATACCGATATTTTGGAAAATGCCTAATATCGGTCTGGCTCTAATCCACAACACAACCGGAAGACAAAACAATGCTGAATAAAGTCGTAGTTTTTGTTATTTTTGGACCAAAATGTATTTTCGGTGCTTCAAAACATTGTAACCAACCCACTGATGTCACATGGACGACTTTGATGATGTCTTTATTTCCTTTCTGGACAAGGACAGTATACCGTACACACATTTCCAATGGAGGGACCGAAAGCTCTCGGACTAAATCTAAAATATCTTAAACTGTGTTGAGATGAACGGAGGACTGACCGGCTTGGGACGAGTCAATAATGACATCATTTTCATTTTTGGGTGAACTAACTCTTTAATTGCATGTACATTGTCCATCTATTTGTATTAGAGAGTTTTAATACAAGTATTTTCATGAAAGCCCCAGTTCACAGCACAGTTTTGAAAACCGCTAAGAAGTGAGCGTGGTACAGACGCAAATGAAGGGGGGTGAGAGGAGAATGACAGCACAGTAACGGCATCGACAGTTTTATTTCTCTCTCATTGAGTTAAAAGCATCAAAGCTTAGTTCCCACAAATGCATGCTGCAGTTCACCAATACACACATGCTTTTATAATCTCAGCGTACATTACACAAATACATGCATATCCTGTGACGGCTATACTTTAATGCACAAATAAATGCACCGCCATTCACATTTGTACTCTGCAGTCTAAAATGTAATTCTGTAAAGACTGATAAATCAGTGTGAATGAATCGCGTTTGTGTCGAAGACCAGGATCTATTGAAGAGAACTTGTGTAACAAACTCTCAATTTGACCCGTTATTGCACCTCTCACATACTGTACGCGATCTCACGGTTTGAAGATGGAATCAACACTTGCTGTCATGAATAATTAAGCGAGGCGTCTTCTCATTGGATGAGTTCACACGGTCTCATGAATAATAATGAGACACCGATGAGTCATCAATAGGGATGTAACGATTAACTCAACTCACGATACGATTCACGATATGATTTTCTCATGATTTTTTTTAACAAAATCAAATTTAAGACAAATTATAACGTGTCTCTTTTATTATTTCTCAGAGAAAATGCTGCACATTTCTTTTTCATTTTGAAATATATTTGTCAAATAATTGAACATGCATTGAAAAAAATCCCTTCAAGGTTGTTTCAACTGTTTCTGTCTGTCTGGTCAAGAGGCTGGACACCGGTACCTTCGCACACTAAGTAAAGGACTGTAAAATTAGTACCACATTGACAGGCGTTTTACATTGTAATAAAGGAAAGATTTTAATTTTGTCATAATTTGCATCATTAAACTAGAAAGAGTTAAAAGCCATTAGCAAATTATTTGAAAAATAAATAAATCCATGTACACATTTAGAGAAAAAGAGTAAAATAAATACAACACATGGTTGCCATGGAAACACCTTGTGATCTCAGTAGCTCTCACACTTGTCGTATTAATTACTTTTACGTGAAAACGGAGGTGATGTGCTTCTCACGGTGCTGATTATTATTAGTCTACGAAGAGTAAAAATGAAAAGTGAAAACACGTGCTAGGTTCGCGCCAGTGTGTGCTCGCTCGCTGCTATTGTGCCTGTAGTTTGTTTTATTTGGATCCCCATTAGCTTCAGCATAAGCTAAAAGCTATTCTTCCTGGGGTCCTCCAATCTTCCATGTGACAATACAATTCATTACATCACATTACACACTATATACACAGGTCATTTATACAACATTCATACATATTTTACAATTAACGCCATCATTTACAAAAATAATAATTAAAAATAAATAAATAAAATAAAAATAAATAATAAAAAACAATTTAAATACAATGTCGCTACTCCAAGTAAATCTATATCAAAAATAAACTAAGAACTACAACAGTATCTCCTTAATTAAATTAACATTACCTATCTAAATTTCTTTGAAGGTAATGTTTCTTAAGTGAAGTTTTGAACCCATACAGGGTATTTTGTTGTTTTATAGTATTTGGGAGCGAATTCCATTCACACATTGCTCTGTACCTGAACGTTGAATTGATTTAGTTTTAACTCTAGGTAAAATAAAACTTCCTCCTACTGCATGTCTCGTTGGATAATGATGTGTATCAATACTAAAGGATAGTTTTGTATATAAAGTAAGAGGTGTTTTATGTGTTATGACATTATATAAAAATACCATTAATGAATACACCAATCTATTTTTAACTTTAAACCATAAAAGGATTTCATGCATTTTATCAACATTTGATCTAGAAAGTCGAGGTTCACAAGTTCACAACTTCACAGTAGGCTATTCAATAAACGTCCCTGCTGTTTAAAACGTGCATCGCGAATTGTTTAACATTTCAACCGACTTGAATCGTCACACATTTTTATCGACTTTCTACCGGTTGCGAGTGAATCGTTACGTCCCTAGTCATCAATGTACAAGAAAACATCACAAAGAAGAATTTAAACCCAGAAGATGAAAATGATCTTCAACACACATAAAATCTCAGAAAATGTAGTTTGGGGTTTCATGACCTGTCTACTAATACTCTAATGATTGGTAGTTGATGTAGTTGCAAAGTTACTTTAGGAGAGCGTCTAAAGTGGACTTTCGAAATAAAGTGTTACCGAATATGCTTATATTTTAATCCATACTTAAAAGTATCATTTCAGCCTTTTAGAGTTTAGTTTGCCCAACATTTGTGTGTGCTATGTAGTTTTAAGCTTCGTAGAGTATTTTGTATGAATTTGTACAATGGGATTTGTATCTAATGTGTGTGATTTGTACAAAAGTAAGCTGAAGATCTAAAGGTCTAAACCTAACCGAAGCGTAAGCAGATCATACGAAAACATACAAATGAGATTTCATATCAATTAACCACCAATTCAGCAAAACGTTAAATAGTTACAACAAATCACATGTTAATTCAGGGTTCTCAAGTTTTATCAAAAGCTTGGAGTGAGATCACATGCGGTTAGGGGAGCCCCGCCCCCCAATTTTAGCCATTGTTCTTAATTAACCAGCACAAATTGAAATTATAACAATTGGTAAATCTGATAAATGACAGAGCAATTCATCACATCTAATATAGCCTGCTTGCTCAAGGAACATTTCTTATTAATATTATCAATGTTGAAAACAGTAGTGCTGCTTCATATTTTTGCTGAAGCCGTGGTAATTTTTTTTTATTAATTTAATTTTATACTAGGGCTGTGCAAAAGTTAATTGCGATTAATCGCATCCAAAATAAAAGTCTGTGTTTACATAGTATATTTGTGTGTGCTGTATATAATTATTTTGTATATATAAATACACACACATGCATGTATATGTTTAAGAAAATGTGTTATTCCTATATAAAATATTTATATTTATATAATATAGATTATGTATTTATATATATATATACAGAATTTAAGCGCAAATAATTCTTAAATATATACATGCATAGGTATTTATATATACAAAATAATTATATACAGCACACTCAAATATATTATGTAAAACAGACTTTTATTTTGGATGCGATTAATCGCAATTAACTTTTGCACAGCCCTATTTTATACTAATTTTAAATCTTTGGTAACATTATAAATGTCTTCACTCGTTGCTGTTGAATTCAAGTATAAATTTTAGGGATGCACCGATATGAAAATTTTGGCCGATGCCGATAATTCTTAATATCTGAAAGCCGATAACCGATATATCGGTCGATAAACTTAAATCCAAATTTTTATCTAATTTTGAGAGCCTGATTACAAAAACAAAAGTCTCACAATTAAATCCACGTCCCAAGAGCACAATTATAATGATGTTCTCATTATAGTCTTGTAAAGCCGATATGACAGATTTGCGTTGCACATGTTGTCCCGAACCAGATTTTCATTTTTTTAAGAGATTTCAATCATATTTCGAGAAATTCAAAAACATAAACAGTTCTCAACAAGTGTCTCAGCTGAAGGGAATAATACATTATTTATCGGCTTTAAAATATCAGCCACATTTTCTAACCAGGCCGATAACGATAACATTAAAAATGAACATATATCGGCCGATACCGATATGCTAGCCGATATATCGTGCATCCCTAATAATTTTTTTCTTTTTTTTTTCTTTTCGATGTGTATATGAAGTATCACATTGACATCAGTGTTGTTGTTTTGAGAAATGTGTTCTTCATTAACAGGATCATGGTAGTTTGGGTTAGAGTTAGTGTGTTTTAGTGGCATAGCAATGTGTTAAACGCTTCACCCATCTTTTCATCTTTGCCGTGTTTGCTTGTCCATATGTGTTGTAAATCCAATGTAAATTGGATTTAATGTGACCACGTTTTTATTGCAAAAGAAACCATTCAAAAACGTCAAGTACAAATCCCAGATCAGAAGCACTGTCCTACCCGAAACATGCTCTATGCAAATACGCAAGTGTAAACGCTGTGTTTGCGTAGTTTCTGGTCTTTATGTCTTCTGTTCCCAGCTGCTTTGGCTTGCAGTCCTCCGGGCCAGCAGGGGGCGCAGTGTCTGTCTCAGCTTGGCTTTGCTGGCTCTTATATTTAATTGTCTTCTCTTTTCCCCTTCTCATGGCACCCAGGCGCGGCTCCCCTCCTCTTCATCCACCCTAAGCATTGCTGAGGTATTCCTGCATGCATCTCGGGCCAGATCAGCAGCTCTCCTCCACCTCCACATGTTGTCATGTGACACGTTTCGTCTTGCCCGTGATGAATGTTGCTTGAACCCCTTCCTGCTTGTCATGCATGCTTTTATCTCAAGTGTATCAGAGAAGAAATGACTTGCTGTCATTTTTATGACAAATTTAGATGTTTGTCTTGGAGATTTTTTTTGACATTGGTTTTTCCATCTTTTTTTTTTCTTTTACTTTTTTCTTTTAATGCATTTTTAATGTTATTTTCCCTCATTCGTGAAACGCTTTAGTGAACGTATGGCCGACGGGTTATTGTTACTAGTGACAGAAGCCAATTCATTTATATTAATTTAGGATGATGGTTGGCCATTTTGAGATAATCATAAATAAAACAAAGGTAAATCTCTATGGCAATGTGAAGTACATTGATTTCGCTAATAATTAACTGTATTATTAAATATCGACAATAAATCGGTCTAGATTTTCGGTATCAATAAATGAAAACCTGCATCAATCGACAACTATTTGTTAACTACATAACACACACAATATACTCTAAAAATGCAGCTTATAATTTCTCTCTCCGCTGTATTTTAGACATATTGGGAACTTTTTTCACTCCGATTGATTTTTTTAATAATTAGTTTTTAAAATACGTCTTATTCAATGTTTTATCCATATATATATATATATATATATATATTACACTGTACAGCTTCTATATTATACACTACATTGAGGTGTTTTAATTAATATTTAGTTATTTAGTGATCAGTAAATGATTTATACATTTTTGTAAAATTTTATTAGCGTGACAGCTTTTAAAATTGTAATGTTTTTCCAGTAACAATTATTATATTATTATTAAAAACAATAAATGTAATGGAAAAAAAGTTATTTTTTTTTTATTTTTTTGTCAAATTGTATTCTGGATATAAAAAAAAATAGAAGTAGATATTTATAATTTTTTTTACATTTTTAATTTTTTTAAATGTTTTTTTTTTCCAGTAACAAATTAATTTTCTTTTTTATATATATATAAAAAAAAATAATGACAATTTTTTTTATTGGACAAATTGTAGTGCCAAAATCTATAGAAGCTTGTTTCCGCCACGGAATAAAACAAATTTAAAGGTAATTGTTACATTTTATCATTTTTTTTTTTTCACAATTGCAAGTTTATATAAAAAAAAGTCAGATTTGCAAGATCTAAACTTGGAGAATTGTTAGATTAAAAAGTCGCAATTACCTTTTTTTATATGATTCAGTGCCAGAAACAAGCTTCCATAGACATCATTATTATTTACCTTATTTACTAATCCAGTTGATTTATCCAATGCATCAACTTTTGGGAGTGAATAAAACTCCCATGTTTTACAAAAAAAACAAAACAAAATATATTGACTTTTTTTTTGTAGGTATTTTTTATAAATGTGACAGTAGCTCCGCTATTTTAAATGTTGTCTTTTTCCAGTAACAAATTCATTTCATTTTTTACAAAAAAAAAAAAATGAAAAAATCTTATTTTGTTAGTCAATATTGTTTTAGAGAGAGTTAACTTTTTGTAATGTAACAGGTTCAATCTGAACAGTAGTTTGCCTTCTTTGAGAGTGTCATTCACCATGGGAGTGATTTCTCCTGCTCCACGGTTTCGTTTCTGTTGGTTTGTTCCTATTTATCACTCAGGATTTACAGCATTAGATCAGGGGTGAATTTTCATTCCGTTCAGCTGCTCATGTTTTCCATTGCAGCGGTGCACATCATTGCAGTGTGTTTTTATTACTGTGCGTCTTGTTGGAGAGAGTTAGTGTATCTGTGTCAGTGTTTGTGGCAGAGCATGCTCATAAATGTGTTTGATAGAATGCGGATTGATTCTGTATCTGTGCCTGTTGGATGTGGAGAGGTTTGTGTGTGTGCGTGTGTGTGCGTATGGGGGAAAGATAGGAGTGTGTGTGTGTTTAGGGTGAGTGACTATGCTGTGGCTTCCTCCAGGCGTCACGACGAGAGTTCAGAGCACACCTGGATGAGGTCATCACACTCAAGTCAAGGTACTCTACCTTGGACCAGGTAAAGAGCTCATCTTTAATCATAGCGAGACAAGTCTAGCCTGCAAACAACACAGACGGCTCACAAAATATACGTCTAGACATGGACTCGAGGTTAAAAATATACCAACGATTTTTTGACTATTTCAGAATTTGAATTTCTTTGCAATTGTTTCAAAGTAAATCCTACTCCAGTGTTGTTTTGTACATAAATCAGCTACGATAACAGATTTACCATTGTTTATGAAAATATCACAACAGTTTTCAGTCGGTTAAAATATTTATAATATCAGTCGACTACTAGTTACTCTGTAAAACCGATTAGACGCCTATATTTTTAGTCTGTACTGAGATGGTTTGTTATTTAGTACACGGTTATTTAGTAATCGATGTAAAATTCAATTCATAAAAAAATATACATTTTTATTCGCTAGCTGTTCGAATACTGATAGTCATGTTCCTGTAACAAATGCATTTTATTAAATGATTATTAAAAACAAATTTTTTGCCCGATTGTATCGTGGATATCATAAAAAAGAGTTTAGCTCAGCTTTTAAAATATATACAAATAAATATGTATTTTATTAATGTTACATTTTTTTTTCTAAAACACAACTAAAAAGGACATCATAAGTTAGCAAAATCCCTTTAAGCATATATATATATATATATATACCATTATTGACCATCATAACTACAGTCTCCTCCAAAATACAGTTACTACAGTTAATGTGCAACTAATCTTTTACAAATAGAAATAGAATTAAGTGCAACGTTTTTTTTTTTTTTTGTCACAGTCTTTTTCTACTTCAAAATGTCAAGCTTAATTCACTGCATTACTTGCTGTTTCTTTGTAATTATTTGCGAAATTGACTTGCCATTTCTGAGTTTCAAATTAAATCCTACACCAATGTTTTGTGGAGCAATAGAAGATTTTGCCATTCAAGTCACTGTATTATTATGTGTAAAGGAGATTTATTATGCATGATTTTACAGTAGAAACAATGGCATTTTGGTGTTAAGATAAAGAGAAGGCTGTTTTTGCACTGAGCATGGCCATATGTTATATTATGGCATGAATATGTTCACTTTTATGGGATCTTTTAGCAGACACTTTAATCAAGTGAATTAGTGACTTAGTTAAAACAACCAAAATTGCTCTGACACACTTATTCACTGCCATTTGTTTTCGTTTTGTTTTACTCATGTGTGTTGTCGTTTGTGTCGAGGATCTAACAGTGTGTTTGGAGGAGTGTATGTGTGTTGGAAAGACTTTAATGAATATTTTTGTGTGTGTGTGTGTGTGTGCGCTTTAGCCTGAAACAGCTTCACAGTCACAGTATCATTATTTCTGTATCATTATTTCATCAAAATAAAGTAAATCAACTTATTTAACGTGACGCTTCAAATTTACACCAGTAGGTGGCGGCAAGTGACTGTTAACGTTTTTTTCATTGGATCATTAATTTTTAATTTATGAGATTCGTTCAAAAATCCTAATTCATCCACGAAGTCACTGAATGATTCTCTCAAACCGAGTTGAAATGATTCAAATTAATTAAACATTTTAAATACACTGCAGAAATTAACGTTTTGTCAAAACCTCTAGTAAATTTTGTTATTTTGTTCAGAATCCTGGGAGAATCACGATCTCTGTTTTTAACAAAACATAATGTGATTCTTAATTTATCCATATTTATCTCTAATGCCATTATAGAGTTTAAATGGCATAGCTTAGGTCTGATTTGGTGTGTGTGTGTGTGTGTGTGTGTGTGTGTGTGTGTGTGTGTGATGCACTTCAGGAGTGTGTTGAGTTCAGCTTCACAGTTAGTGCAGATTATAATAATGACCAGAGCTTAATTAAGTGAAACTGCAAGCTCCATCATATGGTTTGGTCTTTTCACTGACGTCAGTAAACTGATATCTAAAACCATCACTAATACTAACTAACCCACACACACTTACGTTTTATTAAATATACTCTTAAAGATAAAGCTTCCTATTGAAGAAAAAAATTTGGAGAACAGTTAAAAAAAATACAGTTCCTAAAATAACATTTTTTTCTTAGTGTAAAGAACATTTGAAAACTCTAAAAGAACTCTTTCCACTCTAAAGAAACTTTTGCGGAATTGCAAAAGTTCCAAAGTTCTTAATGGAATCATCAGTCCCAATAAGAACCTTCATTTTTAAGAGTGTTTTTAACAAAAATTAAAAGACTTATCATGTTTCTTTTTTTGTAAATATCTGTATTCACGCCACTTCCATTCACCAAAATAGGTGTCAGACACGATTAATTCCTAGATTAAACATTTAAAGTCATGAAACTACCAAGAATAAGATCGCAAATTTAACGTGATGGAAAAAAAACGCTCTTTTTTTTTCTGCTCAGAATCACAAATTGATCATTCGATAATACAAAAAAAAAACATTAGCTGAAAGATGATTATTAGATGTGACATCACAAGGAAATATATATATTTCTTAATTAGGTATTAAATAGCCACATCTAAGATATTTAATGAGGGAATATTTAACGTACTGATATCCCTGTGCTTTTACAGTTTCTTTTTTTTTTCAGTGCATCTTCATTTTTCTTATTTTATTCACTCAGAAACACATTGCAATAGTTAAAATTGGTGTTGCATGACATTTGATGTGGACTTTGTATGACTGGCTATATAGTTCCCTAAAGCATAGGTGTCTGTGTGTGTTTACCATGTATTATTCTTGGCGATTTTAATGTAATCTATATGAAATGTTCATGAGCATCCTTTTTAGTTCTTCAGACACCTGAAAGGTAAAGGGGTCATATGATGCTTTTAAATATTTTCCTTTAGCGTGTAATGTATCTGTTTGTGCATATATGATATTTGCAAAGTTACAAAGCTCCTAGTCTCCTACAATAGGGATTTATTCCATCAGAGAAAGGCGTGTTTGTAAAGTTGGTTCCGATCGATCGATCTAAAAGGACAATATTATTATTATTAGCTTTGTGTTTAGAAGCTGAAGCTCAGGATTATGGTATAAGGGGTGTTATATTTCAGTCTCACGCTTGAAGTGTTCGGCCAATCACAACGCACTCTGTCAGCTGGCCAATCAGAGCACTCTGAGCTTTACAGAAGGAGGAGCTTTGTAGAAATCAGACGGGTGTGTTTCCCGTACTCGCTGATTTACTATCATTTTTATGAAGAAATCAACTAGATAGTCACGACTGTCTCCCGAATACATATACATATTGTCGCAAATTGGTCATTCAACCACGTTGGTTAATGAAATCACATGTGATCGAATTAATAGAGATCGAATTAATGCTAAATGCTTTGCGCTAAATTACAGACATGGCATCTGAGGAATATTTATCATTTTTCTCAGTTTTTTGCTTTATTTCTAGATTCAATCATAGGCTTGTTCTTATGGTGCGTTCACACCGGACGCGAATAGCGCGTCAGGTGCGAATGATTTCAAAGTTAAAGGATTAGTTCACTTTTGAAAAAACTTTTGCTGATAATTTACTCACCCCCATGTCATCCAAGATGTCCATGTCCTTCTTTCTTCAGTCGAAAAGAAATTAAGGTTTTTGATGAAAACATTCCAGGATTTTTCTCCATATAATGGACTTCAATGGGAACCAAACGGTTCAAGGTCCAAAAGACAGTTAATAACAGTTTCAGATGCAGCTTCAAGTGTCTTTAAACGACACCAGACGATGAATAAGGGTCTTATCATGCGAAACGATCGGTTATTTCAAAACTTATTCCAAAAATGTAACTTTTCTAAGGACAAATGCTAGCCTTGCTCTATTCTGTGAGGCGCGTTTGTAACGTCACGTAATACGTAAATACGTTCAAAAGGTCACGGGTGACGTAGCCGGAAGTACAGAGTCAGTGTTTAAGTTGAACGCACAGGTTGAATGTGCAAACTAACTCAAACGCCGTTTACAAAAAAAAAAAAGGTAAAACAACGATGTCACACGATTTTGATTCTGTACTTCCGGCCACCAATGGATTCGCAAATTAACACAAAGTGGTCAAGCGTCAAACTAGGCACGGTAGACGCGAATTTGACGTACTATCCGGCGTGAACGCACAGTTACACTAGAGCTCATGCAAAAACGACGCTTTAAATCTCTTGACAAACTAAAAGAGTAATTGACATTTGTATGTATCATAGATAAAAGATACAGATTGTACTGAATGTCATCTTACTTATTTTGCTCAAGATATTTTCCACATGTCATGCAAACAAGAAACTACTCTTCTAACCACAGGTCGTTCCTAACACACACTTTGCGTTGCTGTTTACGAATGTTCGTTAGATCTATAGTTTCGTTAAACACTGACTCGTTGAACTGTAATAACGACGCTTTCAGGAAACAGAGCCCTAACTGGGATTAGAGGAGCTGCAATAATTTACAATATGTGAATATTAAAGCATGCTAACCTATTCTACTACAATAATGAACTTTAAAATAGCTTCATATGACCCCTTTAACTGTACCTTCTGTGTGTGTGTGTGTCTTTGAGTTGCCTGATGCCGCTGTCAGTCTTCAGTGCGAGTGTTTCTTGTGTTTCTTGTAACTGATGGACTGATGACTTTATCTCCGTAAGCTCCAGTGTAGGTTGGAGGTGCTTAAAGACGATCGCCGAGGCCATAGGACCTTCAGTTCTCGAGTAACTATCCCAGAACCATCAACAAACTCTCTCTTTGCCTTGTTTTTTTTTTTTTTTGCTCGCCACTTCTTTGTATCTTTCTTTTAGCATTTCCTAATCTTATTTTGCTTTTCTTTTTGTGTATTTTGAATATATGGGTAGAATATGAGTTAGTTAACATGAACTAACAGCAATCTTAGTAAATATACATTTTAACATTTACTAATATATTATTAAAATCAAACATTGTATGATAACATGAACTAACAATGAAAAGTTGAATTTGTATTAACCCTCAAACCGTATTCACTTTATAGCCCTTAATCCTGTTATTGTGGACAAATGTGGGCACAGAGGACACAGGTGTGATCCTAATTTTTATTTATTATAAATGTTATATCACTTTCTTCGATAAAGTTTTCTCTATCCATTTATGATGTTTTTTTTTTAGTTTGGGGGTATTTTTGAATTTATTTACTTCAAAAAGTACCATATTTTCTATGTAAATTATGCTTATTTTTATGTTTTATTTTTACATTAAAATATCATTCCAATAAGTTCTTAGAGCTAAAACCTAAAGATGAAGTGACTTTGCCGTCACCTGGTGTCTTATTTTGGCTTATTTTAGAATGCTCTAAATTACAGTTTTTCCCATTCATTTCTTTGGGTGTTCATTTTTGACCCAAATTCAAGATTAAGGAGGGTTTTTTTTCACCTTCTTAACATTGTTGATATGAGTCAAAAAAATTGTGTGTTCAAGAGGCAAAGTTAGGAAAAGTAGCCAAGTGTTGTAGCGCTCAGATCAAGGGAAGTATTTTTAAAAAAATAAATCAAAACTATTTTGCCCACATTTGTCCAGAATACGGTTTTAGGGTTAACTAACATTAACAAAAACTAAAAATGGTTATACTTACACTTTACAATAAAGCTAATTAGTTAACTACCTTAGGTAACATGAACTAAGTATGAAGTTGGTTGTATTTGTTAACATTAATGCACTGTGAAGTAACATGTACAGTTGTATTTTTATTAACTAACATTAACAAAGATTAATAAATACTGTATTGCTCCTTGTTAGTTCATGTTAGTTAATACACTAACTAATTAACCTTTTTGTAAAGTGTTACCATAAAAATGTACCATAAAGGCTAATATAGCATGAAAAGCTTCCATGTTAGTTGCATAAAATGGTGAAAAGTGCCTATTGTTGAACCTTTATAATACACAGAGTCAGATTACTGGAATCCCTGAACATTTCTGCTTGTTTGTTCACTTTTTTCAGAAGCTATAGTGTTTTGTGAGTTTTGCTGACACCATCATCTTGTTTGATTTATTATCCCCGTGCTGCTCGCTGCGTTTTGCTCTTTCAGCTGTTCTGTGTGTCTCTCTCACGTGTTTCATGAGCTGTGTGGCGCTCTCGTAACGGTCTTTCTCTCCTCCTTCGGTTCTTCACTAGATGCTGTCTGCTTCTCCTCGGGAACGTTTGACTCTATCATCCTCTCTCTTTCTCGCTGTAGAGCACTATCTTTCCTGACACTGATTATAGGGTGGTTTTCACAAGTACAGTCATCACAAACTCCAGGAACTATCACTTCAGTCCGGAAGTAACATGTTGAGGTTACAGAGAGGATGATGTTTTTAAGAAGGGAATAAGACACATGAGTTGGGCTCTATATAGGAGCCTAGTGTTCTTGACTCGATTATAAAGAACCCTTTATGCCAAAAAGCTCTTATGGCCGGTTCAGATTACACGATTTTAGCCTGATTTTGGCACGATCAGTTTGGCGTAGGGTGTCGTGGGGATTCGTATGCGACAACGGGCGTCGGGATGCAAGATTTGATCGTTTCATCTTGTATAGTGTGTCATAGTGGGCGACAGCCGACGTCACGATGAAAAGACTAGAGTGTTTTTTTTTAGTCCTCCACGACTTGTTTCGTCAAGAGTGAGTTATTGAGTGAGTGAGTTATTGAGTGAGTTAATGAGTGAGTTATTGAGTGAGTGAGTTATTGAGTGAGTTATTCAGTGAGTGAGTTATTGAGTGAGTGAGTGAGTTATTGAGTGAGTTATTGAGTGAGTGAGTTATTGAGTGAGTTATTGAGTGAGTGATTTATTGAGTGAGTTATTGAGTGAGTTATTGAGTGAGTGAGTTATTGAGTGAGTTATTGAGTGAGTGAGTTATTGAGTGAGTTATTGAGTGAGTGATTTATTGAGTGAGTTATTGAGTGAGTGAGTTATTGAGTGAGTGAGTTATTGAGTGAGTGAGTGAGTTATTGAGTGAGTGAGTGAGTCAGTGAGTGAGTGAGTGAGTGAGACAGTGAGTGAGTTATTGAGTGAGTGAGTGAGTTATTGAGTGAGTGAGTGTGTGAGTGAGTGAGTTATTGAGTGAGTGAGTGAGTTATTGAGTGAGTGAGTTATTGAGTGAGTGATTTATTGAGTGAGTTATTGCGTTTGTGTGTGTGTGTGTGTGTGTGTTATTGAGTGAGTTATTGAGTGAGTGAGTGAGTTATTGAGTGAGTTATTGAGTGAGTGAGTTATTAAGTGAGTTATTGAGTTATTGAGTGAGTTATTGAGTGAGTTATTCAGTGAGTGAGTGAGTGAGTTATTGAGTGAGTGAGTGAGTTATTGAGTGAGTGAGTGAGTTATTGAGTGAGTGATTTATTGAGTGAGTGAGTTATTGAGTAAGTTATTGAGTGAGTGAGTGAGTGATTAATTGAGTGAGTAATTTATTGAGTGAGTGAGTTATTGAGTGAGTGAGTTATTGAGTGAGTGAGTGAGTCAGTGAGTGAGTGAGACAGTGAGTGAGTGAGTGAGTGAGTTATTGAGTGAGTGAGTCAGTGAGTGAGTGAGTGAGACAGTGAGTGAGTTATTGAGTGAGTGAGTGAGTTATTGAGTGAGTTATTGAGTGAGTCATTGAGTGAGTGAGTGAGTGAGTGAGTTATTGAGTGAGTGATTTATTGAGTGAGTTATTGTGTTTGTGTGTGTGTGTGTTATTGAGTGAGTTATTGAGTGAGTGAGTGAGTTATTGAGTGAGTGAGTGAGTGAGTGAGTGAGTGAGTGAGTGAGTTATTCAGTGAGTGATTTATTGAGTGAGTGAGTGAGTTATTGAGTGAGTGAGTGAGTGAGTGAGTGAGTGAGTTATTGAGTGAGTGAGTGAGTTATTGAGTGAGTTATTGTGTTTGTGTGTGTGTGTGTTATTGAGTGAGTGAGTGAGTTATTGAGTGAGTGATTTATTGAGTGAGTTATTGTGTTTGTGTGTGTGTGTTATTGAGTGAGTTATTGAGTGAGTGAGTGAGTGAGTTATTGAGTGAGTGAGTGAGTGAGTGAGTGAGTGAGTGAGTGAGTTATTCATTGAGTGAGTTATTGAGTGAGTGATTTATTGAGTGAGTGAGTGAGTTATTGAGTGAGTGATTTATTGAGTGAGTGAGTGTGTTTGTGAGTGAGTGAGTGTGTTATTGAGTGTGTGATTTATTGAGTGAGTGTGTTATTGAGTGAGTGATTTATTGAGTGAGTGAGTGAGTGAGTGAGTTATTGAGTGAGTGAGTGTGTTATTGAGTGAGTGAGTTATTGAGTGAGTGAGTGAGTTATTGAGTGAGTGAGTTATTCAGTGAGTGATTTATTGAGTGAGTGTATTATTGAGTGAGTGAGTTATTGAGTGAGTGAGTGAGTTATTGAGTGAGTGAGTGAGTGAGTGAGTTATTCATTGAGTGAGTTATTGAGTGTGTGAGTTATTGAGTGAGTGAGTGTGTTTGTGAGTGAGTGAGTGTGTTATTGAGTGTGTGATTTATTGAGTGAGTGTGTTATTGAGTGAGTGATTTATTGAGTGAGTGAGTGAGTGAGTGAGTTATTGAGTGAGTGAGTGTGTTATTGAGTGAGTGAGTTATTGAGTGAGTGAGTGAGTTATTGAGTGAGTGAGTTATTCAGTGAGTGATTTATTGAGTGAGTGTATTATTGAGTGAGTGAGTTATTGAGTGAGTGAGTGAGTTATTGAGTGAGTGAGTGAGTGAGTGAGTGAGTTATTCATTGAGTGAGTTATTGAGTGAGTGATTTATTGAGTGAGTGAGTTATTGAGTGAGTTATTGAGTGTGTGAGTTATTGAGTGAGTGAGTGTGTTATTGAGTGTGTGATTTATTGAGTGAGTGTGTTATTGAGTGAGTGATTTATTGAGTGAGTGAGTGAGTTATTGAGTGAGTGAGTGTGTTATTGAGTGAGTGAGTTATTGAGTGAGTGAGTGAGTTATTCAGTGAGTGATTTATTGAGTGAGTGTATTATTGAGTGAGTGAGTTATTGAGTGAGTTATTGAGTGAGTTATTGAGTGAGTTATTGAGTGTGTGAGTTATTGAGTGAGTGAGTGTGTTTGTGAGTGAGTGAGTAAGTTATTGAGTGAGTGCATTTGTGTGTGCGTGTGTGTGAGTGTGTTTATGTGAGTGTGTGTGTTTGTGTGAGTGAGTGAGTGAGTGAGTGAGTGCGTTTGTGTGAGCGAGTGTGTGTATGTGTGCAAGTGAATGTGTGTGTGAGACGGCACGCGATGACTGGTCGGAAAGCAACGTGTAGTCAGACATGTTTGTTGTCCGCGACACGACAAGATTGTAGGAGTTAAAACACGTAATCTGACGCAGTGACTATCGCAACAGACTAAAACATGGTGTAATCTGAACCAGGCATTAAATGATTGCATAATACTTTCAAATTTGAATTATTTCCAGTTTTCTCCTGTGATAAATTCTGTTTAATGTTTAAAATTAATGAATTCAAACTAAATCCACTGAAAGCTTCTATATATGAAGTGAATATCCAGTTGAAATTGACAGATTGTTATCATGGGAATAGGGTAGATTCAGTCTTTTAAAAATGAAGTTGAATGTTATTACGTCTCTGATCTCTAATATTTCTCCTGAATCTCACTGCCATTTAAAGGTTTGGGGTCAGTAAGGTTTTTGCTTTTCTTTTTTTAAATAAATTGTTTTATTCAGCAAGGATGCATTAAATTGATCAAAAGGGGCAGTAAAGATTTTATAGTGTTACAAACAATCATAAATAATTTCTGTGTGAACTTTCTATTCATTAAATCATCAATGTTCGGAATTCTATTCGGAATCTTGAGTTTCCAAAAAAAACCGAAATGTTCCAGAGAAATTGTGATTTCTGGAGCATCATGTGAGTAA